GCTGGGAATTGGTCCTGCTTTGAGCAGGGGGTTGGACTAGATGACCTCTTGAGGTCCCTTCCAACTCTGATATTCTATGATTCTTATAAAGTCTTTTTTGAGCAGCCCCGGGACTCAAACAGCTCTGATCCTCCCCAAACTGGTGTCAGTCACTTGACATTTATCTCCCTTAAACTGCTGAGAAATGGGCATCAGCAGCAATACAAAGGGCAAGTTTACATGACAACTTAAGTTACGTTGTCACACAGCCACCGCAGTAATTAAGAACATAAGAACGGCCATACTGGGTCAGACCAAAGGTCCATCCAGCCCAGTATCATGTCTTCTGACATTGGCCAATGCCAGGTGCCCCAGAGGGAATGAACCTAACAGGTAATGATCAAGTGATCTCTCTCCTGCCATCCATCTCCACCCTCTGACAAACAGAGGCTAGGGACACCATTCCTTACCCATCCTGGCTAATAGCCATTAATGGACTTAACCTCCATGAATTTATCCACTTCTCTTTTAAACCCTGTTATAGTCCTAACCTTCACAACCTCCTCAGGCAAGGAGTTCCACAGGTGACTGTGCGCTGTGCGAAGAATCATTTTTTCATGTCCACACTCTCCTCCTCCTGTCAGCGATGTGCGTCCTCACCAGGAGCGCGTGTACTGACTTAACTGTCAGTGTGGGGGATGGGGGGGGCACTGACAGCCGGCGCCCCCAGGCGATATAAGCAACGCAGTGCCTATACGGATACTGCACCAACCTGTCTCCATTCAGCTAAGCACACTGGCTCTGGCAGAAGTGGAGTTATGAAGTTGATGTGGTGGACATGTTACATGGGTGGGAGCTACATTTTAGCGAGTCCGCTTACAGAGTTAGGTCGATGTAAGCCTTACATCAACAAACTCAGGTTTAGAGTCATAGATTCCCAGGCCAAAAGGGACTTTTGCAATCATCTAGTCTGAGTTCCCATGTAGCACAGGCCAGAGAACTGCCCCAAATAATCCCTGATGGAACCAGAGCCGATCTCTTAGAAAACCAGCCAGTCTTGAGATAAAAATTGCCAGGGATGGAGAATCCACCACAGCCCGTGGTGAGCTGCTCCAATGGTTAATTCCCCTCATGGTTAAACCTGACACCTTCTTTCCAAATTGAATGCGTCTGAATTCCGCTTCCAGCCATTGGACCTTGTTCGACCTTTGTCTGCTGCTTACTTTGGGCCCAGCAACCGGGAGGTGTCTGACTCCACCGCTGATCTGATGGCACACAACCCACCCAGACCAGCGCAGTGATCCCATCCCTTCACCCCTGGCCCTGAGGCGTCCCCCAGAGACAGTGCAGCACTCACCCCTCACTACACCTTGGAGATTGAGTCATGCAGGGCCCCAGAGCGCTGACAATCCCCATGGCAAGAAAACCCCTGTGCCCCGCTGCTGATACAACCGACACAACTCGGTGCTGAAATGAGTCAGGCTCCATAACTCCAGGCTCCAGCGGCCGCCTCACCCTCCACTCACCAGAGCAGCACATGGCGCTGGCTGAGCCGTGCCTCTCGAGGGCCCAGCAGGGCTCAGGGCGGGTGGGTGTTGGTCCAGGGCTCCCGGCTGTGACTGACGCCAATGCCCGGGTCTCCCCTGTACCTCCCTCTACTCCATGAAGGTCGGCCAGGCCTTCTCCAGCGCTGCTGCCCAACGGGAGCTCCAGGAGATCGCCTCTCAGCCCAGCAACGAGCACGTCTTCCGGGTGGACAGTTTTGACGCCCTCCAGGGCATCCAGAACCAGCTGCAGGAGAAGATCTTCGCCATCGAAGGTACCAGAGCCGGGGGAGGGGCCACACTGGCCCTAGGGCTCTAGAAATGGGTTTTCAGAGCTGAGATGGGACGGGGAGCAGCTGGGAATCCAGAGCTCAAATAGGCCCCAAATATTCTCTCTTTCCCCATCCAACATCTATCTACTGATCTATCTCCATATATCCCCCAAATGCCTTTCTCATCCGGGGGCCACCGGGCAGGGGACTGGCTGGCTCCAGGGGTTGAGGAATGGGATACGGGGACTTCTCTCTAGGGGGCGCTGGATCCAATTCAGCCTCGAGGTGGGGAGAAGGCCTGACTCAGGGAATGGGACACGGGGCCTTTACTGTCTATGACAGTCTCTCCCATGTCTGTCTGTCTGTCTGTCTCTGCCCCCAGGCACCCAGTCCCAGAGCGGCAGCTCCTTCCAGCTGGAGATGTCTCAAGAAGGATTCAGTTCCCTGCTGTCCCCTGTGAGTGATGCCTGGACCTAGGGCGTGTCCCACACTGCTGTGCGTTGGGGCCCTGACAGCGCTTTCAAGCTAAAAAGGAGCTGGTTGGCTTAGTGCTTGCAGGGGAGACAACCCTTTACTAGCCCAGAGTGCTGCGGGAGCTGTGAAGGGGGCATCCTCCCCTCCCACTCAGGGTGGGCACTAGGGGGCTCTATGCTGCAGCATGTGGTGTGGGGACCCAGTAGGGGATGCTCACTCCCCTGGCTGTTAGCACCAACCCCAGTGTCCCAGCACGATGCTAGGGGGCGCTGTGCTGCAGGTTCTGGCCTTGTCTAGTAAATACATTCTGCACTGTGGGTTTCCTGTAATCAGTCCCCTTTGCCGTGCGTGTCGGTTTAGGACGGGCCTGTGCTGGGAGCGGTGGGAGCCTATGACTGGTCCGGTGGGATATACCTGTACGGGAGCAGCGGGAAGCCGAGTTTCATCAACGTATCCAGAACCTCCACTGATATGAATGATGCTTACCTCGGTAAGAACAAACCCACCAAGCTTCCCTTACCTATTTAAACAGCCCCTGCACCCCACCCCAGAGGTGGCTGCATCTCAGTTCTGGGAAAGTTCTGTGCAGCACTGTTGTATGGCTGTTTCCCATCTCACCTCCCCACGTCCCTCTCTTCCTTTGAGGTTATTCGTCTCAGGTCATCACAGCCAATGGGCAGAGCAGCTACGTGGTCGGGGCCCCTCGCTACCAACACGCCGGCAAAGTCGTCCTGTTCAGCCGAGATACCAAGGGCGGGGAATGGACACCTAGATCGGAGGTGTTGGGAGAACAGGTATGGGGAGCATTACTGGTAATATGGAGTGTGGGTGTGAGAGAGAGGCGGCTTGAGGAAGCCTGTAAGATTTTGACATCGTGTAATATTTATGTTTGGCTCCACCTTCAGGACCGATTCAGTCAAAGCCTCAGTCAAGGCATACATTTGACTGGTTTAGGGAATTGCACCGCAGCTGACATTCTGCATCTCTCCCACATCGCACTTCTGTTTCCCTCACTTATAGTCTAGACAGAACTCATGAGACTGATACAGACAGAGTCCCAGATCCACCAAGGGACTTAGGCGTTGTGATGCTGCAGGGAGGCACCTACCCCTGCCAGTGATCCATGAAGCAGGGGAAGATAGGCGCTCTTCCACCTAGCCCACATGTCGGGCCTCATCCAGTAGACATGCTTAGAGCCACCAAGATCTTCACAAACCAGCCAGAGGAGACAAGGGAGAGCATCCCTTATAGCCTGGGGTTCGAATCCTCACCTAGGACATGGATAAAACCTTGTTTGAGTCCCTGCTTTGCCTGATGAGGAAAAAGGCTTTAACCAGGGCTCCGCCATCTCTCAGGGAGTGCCCTGACTGATGGGCTGTAGGCTGGTTGTGATTTGCACACATTCTGCAGCCCAACTGATATTTAATTAGTCAATTAAAGTGGAACAACTTTAACAGGAGTGACTGAGGGAGCCCACAGCTGAGGGGTTAAGGCACTGACCTTAGAAATAGCAGACCCCTGTTCAAGTTCTCCTCTGACCACACATACTAGATGGTGCCCTGCAGGTGGAGGAGCACCTGTCTTCCCCCAGTTTGTGGATCATGCTGGGGTGTGGTGTGAAATGGGCAACTGGCTGCTTAGAGTAAGACAGCAGTGCACATGCCCTGCCCTTGAGGCAGCAACATAAGGAGCTTCTACTGCAAAAATTTAGGCACCAAGTCAGATTAGGCACCTATGGGGTCCGCAGCAGCCATGCAGAGGTTTTGTGGATCACAGTGGCACCTAAATCTGGGGATTAGGCACATTTGTGTACCTTTGTGTGTCTGGGCTAGAGAGACTTGGGCAAGGAACATAACATTACTAGTGATATTAACAGTGTCTGGAAAGGATCACTCTACAGTAACAAAGTGAATTTCTCCAAGATCTAACTGCCTATACATTCCAGCTGAACAGAGCTTATAACAGTGGCTCAGTCAGTGAATAAACTTTACTCGTGCTAGCACAACCTCTAAAAAGAATTGCACCACAACTAGCATTCAGCATCTCTCCAAGATCTAACTGCCTAAATGTTCAAGAACACTTACATCGATAGCGCCACGTGCTGTGCAGCGGGAGGGTGACTCTAAGGGTGGAATGAGGATTGGGACTGAATCCGTATCCCCATAGGGTGAGAAGAGTCCCAGTGGGAGAAGAAGGAGGAAGTGACTAAATTGAAGGGGTGACTTATCTGCCTCTCCAGATCGGCTCGTATTTTGGGGGTACACTGTGTGCTGTGGACCTCGACAGAGATGGGAACACGGACCTGCTTCTGATTGGATCCCCCATGTACTATACACCCCTGAATGGAGGACGAGTCTACATCTGCCTGATTAACTGGCTGGTAAGAAAAAGGAGTGGAGCCAGGGGGAAGATGGATGGCCTGGGGGGTTCTTCTTTGCCTGCACTGCCATGGGATTGTGATGCTGGGACTATTAGCATGGCAGTAGCTGGCGCAATGCTCCAGGGAGTAGGGTTGGGGGATCATGAGGGGACACTCTTCCTTGCTGGCCCCAATGCCCCAGAGTGGCACCAAGGGTCTCTGTGCTGCAGAGAGAGGGAAAAGGGGGTCGCAGCAGGGGGCACTCTCTGCTGGAAGTCAGTGCTAATCCTTTCCCCATGTGTCTCTTTGGATGGGGCCTCCAGGGAGCGACGCTGATCTGCAGTAAGACACTGCAGGGGCAGACGGGGCAGGCGTTCGGGCGCTTTGGGGCCAGCATGTCCGAAATCGGGGACATTAGTGGGGACGGACGGACGGACGTGGCCATTGGGGCCCCCCTGGAGAACAGCAATCATGGGGCCTTGTACATCTTCCATGGGGAAAAGGGAGGCCTCAGTCCCCATTACAGACAGGTGAGCCCTGCTCCTGCGGGGAGGGGTCACCACAGAGCCCCGAAGAGACATAATGGGGCCCCAGAGCCCCCTAGTACCTATTAGCCCATAGCTGCTGCTTTCCCATCCCTAACCCTCCACTGCCCCCTAGTGCCAATTATACAGTACAGCCGCCCCTTCCCCATCCTTCACCCTCCGCTGCCCCCTAGTGCCCATTATACAGTACAGCCGCCCCTTCCCCATCCTTCACCCTCCGCTGCCCCCTAGTGCCCATTATACAGTACAGCCGCCCCTTCCCCATCCCTCACCCTCCGCTGCCCCCTAGTGTCCATTATACAGTAAACCCGC